TCTGTCCGCGCATATGCAAAAAATGCCATTAAATAACATAGCATTTGCATTAATTCCTAATCATTCGATAATATATCTATGTTTTTTAACATAATTATTTTAGCGTAAAAACAACTTTTTTATAAAATTTTTTATTTATACTTTGACATATTTTATTTAGTAAAGATACAACAGTAAAATGCACAGCTAGTTAAACAAATAATATTTATCACGTGAATTCTATTCTTTGTTCAACATATACAACAATGTATATGTATTCAAAATCATTAAATTTTAGAAAAATGGCTCAAATAGAAATAAAAATAAAAGTTATTTGATTATTGTTTAGAATATTAAAATTATATCATATATATTATTATAATTTAGATAAAGATATATTGCTATCTTATCGTTCCGCAGAGTCATATTCGAACAATTATTTTGTTCAATCTCGACAACCGCAATGTTTTTGTCAGTCTCTGTCGTAATCTGTTCTGATCTGGTTAAAATATCACCATCCAAGTTATGTTTGATCTTGGGCTCCCTCATTCCATCGTGATGGAACGTGAACGCATTTTCCAACGTCTCTGCACTTGCATCTTTTCTCATGCTTCTGTTCTCACTTTAGTCTATATTCTCGAGATTTCGTCAAGCACTTTTTCTTTTATATCTTCTTTGACTGATCCTAGCATCTGTACTACGTCGTACTCTGTGACCTCTCGATCGATGAGTTTTTCGCTGACGATACTGATCTAACAAACCGATTTCTTGAATAGCCACTTCCTGCCGTGCAATCTCGCTATCAGTCGGCAAACTGTAGTGACCGTCACTTTTCTTCAAGATACCATAAGTGACTCCGCGCTTTAAGGTATTCTGTATCTGTGATAGCAAATTCAAAGTGTTCGTGTACATAAAGCCTTTCTAAAATGAGTCTTTATGTATTAAGAGAGAGTTCCGAGCCTTGCACAAATTTTATAAAATTATAAACGCTGCATGACAATTTCTGATAAAATTCGTAAATTAGTCAATTTTGAAATTTGAACTATCGCATTGATCATGGAAAAATAACTAAAAAAACTTATTTTTATATTTTGCTTCTTCTCTATGAGATATTTCTATTTATTAAAATATTTATTTCATATCATATGTTATACATTTTTTATAAATATTTATATAATAAATAAAAACTTTTATCACATATAAAAAGTATGAAAAATAAACAGAAAATAAAAAAAAAGAACGCGCTTTATATACAATTTCTTTTTATAATAATTTTTACAAGATGCCATAACTTGTTTTTGTTCATGAATAATTGCAATTCAAAGTCACAGAAGTATTAAAAAATTTAAATAATGAAGACATTCATTAGCTGAAATAATGAGTAATTATAAAAATGTCATACTTGTAAGTCAAGCAACAGGACTTGTAAAAGATGTGTGATAAATTAGCTTTTCCAATTTTTAAAGAAAGATTTGTACGTTTTAGTGTCGAATGAAAAAAAATAGAATCAGATATCAAAATATTTTAAAAGTTAATTTAATCAATATGATAGCAAATAATCATCAACATGTATGCAAAAAAAATTCATTTATTTTAGTATATATTTATGTAAAAAAAAACATATTAATTAAATGCGTGTCATTTAATTACTATCATAGAAACGCAATAATAAATTTATATTAAATATTTCAGAATTTTAATACAGAAAAAATACAAACAAAAAGATATCAATAAAAGATGAGTCTTCTATTACTTCATCGACTGATTGATCTCATGTTGCTCGTATTTATTAATGTATAAGAATAATCCTTGAAAGTAAAACAGTGAAATATAAAAATTTCACATGTAAAAATAAAATATAAATAAATTGCATAAATAACACATACGTACACGCGCACGCACACGTATATGTATAAATAATTATATAATGTAAATTTGAATTTTTGAGATTAAAACACATAACTATGTATACCACAATGTTTCACTTAAAGATCATATTAAAAAATTGGAAAATATGATCAATGAATACTTGATATCGCGCTGTTGTAGTTGGGATATTATAAATAGAGGAAATATAGTGAAGAATTTCTCGCGACGTAGATCCTTTGAGTTCACAAATGTTCTTGATCGCAGAGATCACTAAACCAAGGATTTTCATAGATTCATGAACCATGATGACCGCACAATATAAATTTCTAATGTAAATTAATAAAATTGATAAAATGTTTTAAAAACTAAAAAGAGTACATACAATTTTTTTATTTTAAAATATATATGCAGTTTTTCGAGTAAACTTACCGGGGATTTTTTTATGACAGAGTTGATTCTTCAGAATGTCGATTATTTATTAGAAAAAATAATTTCTTAATCATTGAGCATTCTATAAGGATGAAATATTATAATTAATATGTTAGTATAACGGAGACGGATAATTTTATTCATTAATCCTTTTATCTTTTAAGAATATTGTAGTTTGCATTTTGACAATTAATTTGTAATACATCACATTCTGCGCTTTCTGTATAAAGTATTCATAATGATAACTCAATTAATTTCACAAAATAAATTGTCTTTAGTGGAATAAAGAAACGGGATGTGAAAAAGAGTAAGCTATATTCGCGTAATACACATATATCTATATATACATATATATACAAATAAGTGACATAGATGCTGTCAGACGCGATGTAGACGTTGCAACTTGATCGAATGCTATCTCGTTCTCAAGAAGACTGATTGCAGATAAGCTCGAAATTCGATTTAACAAGGTGTCAGGTGCACCGACCGAATAGCGAATGCAGATCAATTGTATTCTTGTCGAAGTTACCCGTTAGGATCGAAGAGAATAGAGATCGCGAGTCCCATCATTAAGTTAAAGAATAATGTCGTCGTCGCGACAAAAGAAAAGGACGCGGCGGAGATTGATGATAAACGTGTATCGTGACAGACCGAGACGCGAAGAACGGCTCGCTTAATCAATGCACTTCTCTTACTCCACGAGATTCTTTCACGACAGTTGTAACCTTCACCTCGCGTCTCATTCCAGTATTGTAATCTTACCGAGAAAAAACGATAAATTTAAAGACTCGATTAGTCTACCAAATGCAATCACATCTTCGGTCGAAAGGGCAAATCGATGAATGAATTTTAATATTTACAAATGAATGTTGAAAGTGATATTAGCTCTGTTTCTCTTACAATAAAGTTCGCAAATTCATTTTTTTCTTGTTTACATTACGACGATTTACTTGACAATTGGCTGTATCAACTATTTTCATCTTAAAGTCCTTTTATGATGCAATATATGAAATATCTTCACACTTGGAAGCTTTTCTGGAACTCTTTTGGCATTGCCTTTATGACTATCATTTCCGACACATCATCAATTATATTTTTTTCTCACAGCTTGACTCTTATAAACTATATCGTTTTATGTGTGTGGATTTCAAATCCAATTCTTTCTTTATTTCAAATTTAAGCTTTCTTAAAAATTTCACATTTATCTTTCGCTTTAACAATATCTCCATCGCATCCGCCAAAACGTAAGAACACATCACTACAATAATTTTCTCGAATTAATCAAAGTAAGTTATTGTACTAACAATTACTTTGAAGAGTTCATATTATAACGCGACATATATTTCCTCCATAAAGCTACCACATACTAAGGAAAAAAATGAGTTAGCGAAAGTTTTAATTCTCTTCCAAAAGTAAGTACTTGTCAGACCTCGTATACTTTCTTGCAATATTCAATTATCGTCCATAATTTATCGCTCGGAGTAAAAGCGTACATTGATTAGAACGTATATATATACGTTTTTATCGCATCCTGTTTATTTTTTATTAGAGATGTGTGTACTTTTCTCCGCCAAAGATAATTAATTTTGCAAAATTAATTAAGCTATTAATATTTTATTATTTTACGTCGAAAGCTCAGAATGTGATACATAACGAATGGTATTTATATACTCAGCCAACATTTTGCTCAGATTTACTTACTGGATATAATGATCATTTAATTGTCGAGATGCAAACTACAATTTTTTAAAAGATAAAATATTTAATAAATAAAATTATTTGTTTATATTACACTAATGTTTATATTGTTCCATCTTTATAAAATAACTCATCATTAAAAATTTGTTTTTCGCAACAAATAATTGACTCTAAATTAACTTTGTCATGCAAAGATCTCCGATATAAATCCATTAAAAAAATTACATATATTTTAAAATAACAAATTTTCATGTCTTTTCCTTCTCTTTCATATCTAAAAAATTTTGTCAATTTGTATTAAAAATTCATATTATGATTATCATACATTAATCTACAAAAATCTTCGATGGTTAATGATCTCTACAATTAACAACACCGGCTTACTTTCTCGATGTATTATAAATTCAATGATATGTGTCTACACTTTCATATATTTGTGCTTTGTGTCAACAGGTCGCAATATTTCATGTTGCACAAGGACCGTTCATTGAAGTATTTACACAATGTGTAACACACGGCTTTTACACTGAAGCCTGGCAGGAACAACTTTACGCTAGTTTTAGTCTATTTTTTATGTTCCTTTTGCCATTAGCAATTTTAATTATTACATACGTATCTACAGTGATCACTATCTCTCGTAAGTATTTTTTCTAGCATTCATTGCAAATTTATATTATGCATACACGCGTAAACACGTGAGCGCGTGCGTAAAACATACATTTTAAAATATATTTATTACGAGGATCATAGAAAATTTTTTTAACATTGTTCTTAAAAATAAATATATATTATAAAAATTCAAAGAATAACTCATTTTTCTATATAATTATTGTATTTTTTTAATAAAAATCTTTCAGCAACTCAACAGCTTTTTGATATCTCGAAAAAAAATTTCTTTTGGGAATCTTTTGAGAAATTATTCAGTTATGTATTACAACTTTAAGCTTGCTGTCATTAAAAATAGATTTTACTATATTTTAATGATAACTAGAATAATAAGTTTAATACTGCATAACTAACAATAAATTTTAATAATTAAGACCTAACTAAATAAAATTTTTTTCCAAGAAATTTAAAAGCTACCGGGATTGCTAAAAGAAATATATTAATAAAAATTGTAAACTATAATATTAAAAAATTATTGTTTGAATTGTTATAACAAATACATATTTTTTAATAACAATTCGCCAGAAATTTTTTAATCCATTATACATACACATGCAACACACATTTTTAAATAAATATGTGCATAGTAAAAGTTTATATAAAAGTAAATGTGTGGAGAATTTATTAGCATATTCGACAATTTTAAACTTAATTATGCAAAAATATAAAGTTTGCAATAATTTTCAAAATTAATTGGATGGAATTTGTGAAAAAATACATTAATATTTACAATTGAACAAATTGAATTGTGTGCGAGAGTAGTATTTTTTTCATTTTCAATAAATAAATTAATAAGCTTTAAAGATGAATAATAAGAACTCAATTCTAAATTATGATATTTTACAATATCACAATTATTATATGTACAATTTTACAATATGTATATTAAACTAAACTATCTAGCGTTTTTTCAGAAAGTCAGAGAAAGTTTAAAACGAAACCAGCGAGAAATGTCACATATATTAGAAATAGTTATATAAATAGGAAAAGAATAATGCACCGAGCAAAAACAAAGTCATTACGTATCAGTGTTGTCATCGTAGCAGCGTTCCTGATCTGGTGGACGCCGTATTACACGATGATGATAATATTTCTGTTTCTCAATCCCGATGAACACGTTAGTATATTTTAATTAAAGCAATAAATTATATGTCTACATTGAAAAGTCAATGACGTGATGTTTTCAGCTCAGCGACGAGTTACAGAGCGGAATATTTTTCTTCGGCATGAGTAACAGCTTGGTAAATCCCTTGATATATGGTGCGTTTCATCTTTGGCCGCAGAAGCAACGGCAAGGCTCTTATCAAAGGTGACTAAAATTTACGAGGATGTTCGATGTGTCATATCTCGAATTTCATCCTTTCGCTCTTTATGTCCGACATTCTGACATGTATATATAAACATGTTTATGTCACAACAAGATTAAATACAGGTTTTGGTTGGATGTACACGAGTGGCAAAGAAACTCACGGACACGGCATCAATTTGCTCTTACATTTAAACAAGGTAATAATAAAGCAATGCAAACATATCAATGACATTAGATCACTGTACATTTACAATACAATATATACGTTTGCATTGGCTTTACTACTTGAATAAAAAATTTGAATACTGTTTAAACGTGTCAAATTAACGCAGTGTCCACGCATCTTTTTGCCGCTCATGTACAGAAAGCGTTTAGAAAAAAATTGTGTTAACTTTGATTATAGTAATTATGCAAAGATTTAAAATATTATTGTTAAAAATAATAAATAATTTGCCATTTTATAAATGTCACAGATTTCCAATAATTTAGAAGCGATTCTAATTGCTGATATTGTTGCAAATTGTAGATCTGACTTTGCATTGCAACAGCGAAGTAGCAGTATTAGAAGGAAGTCACACGAAACGCAAATACCATTCCTCTCTCAAGACAGTGGCTCAAAAATTATTCCACAACAACAACAAGAGGTGTAATATTTTATCAGATTTGATTGTATTTTATATAAAAACAAAATGTATCAAATGTGTTGTGAAAATAGCATGGACTATACGAAATGACAGGTATCTGTGTGCATATCTTGATTTAGATCTAATAGCATAAATATATTGCGACATTAAGCAATGCATAAATTTCAATAAAAATTTTGCGAGTATTATTAACGATATTTTATGTTTTATATATAGATGTAGCATATTATCATCAAACTAATATCATATCTAATATACTATGTAATAAAACTATATTTTTATTATAATCCTTTTCATTAATTGTTTATGTTATTTTAAAAGCTCACAAGTAATAATGTGCATAAACATAAATATTTTACGTATATTGTAAATATCTTAAATAAAAAGTATATTTAATCTTTAAACAAAAAATTTCAGCAAATAATTTTCTTATCTAAATAATAAAATTATGTTAAAAAAGTATTTTTAAAGAAATGTATTAAATATATGAAAATTATTGTCATATTATTAATCTTGTCCTACAAATAACGGAATAAAATGTAAAATAAAGATTAACACTCACCGATATGTTGATGAAGACTCACACGAACCTGTAAGATAATAAAAAATATATCAAAATTATAGTTGCATTTAAAAGAAATAATTGAAAAGCAATTATTTTATGTACAGAATTTTTGATTTATCTTTTAAGCAGATATTTAATAAACAAATATCACATGTTAACAAGAAATAAGTTTTAATATTCATAACAAACCAATAATACAATATTTAGAAATATGAAATGTAATAAATAACTTTTTATCGAACGTTTTAAAAATTCAAAATATTTTATATGCAGTGTATTATACATAAAATACCATGAAAATGTTGACACAATAATAGAATTTTGCAAATAATAAATTATATACCTCGCGATCACAGGACATCTTCCAGGCCTTCTTCTCCCTTCCTATGATTCTCTCTTACTTGCACTTGCACACACACACACAAATACACTACACTACACATGCACAAATACACAAATACACTACACATTATACACATTATACGCATTATTAAATACACTTTCTCTTTCAAATCTAACTGGAGTACATATTATTAGGACAATCCAGCATTGCTTATGGCAAAGTTTCATCATTTTGTTCGCTTTATTAACACTCAAAACAAAATGCCGGCGACGCCGAATACCGCATTTTATCACATCATACGATACTTCCCAATGAGAAACACAGATCGAAAAAACACTGATAGATGTCTATTAGATGTCTACTGGACGTCTATAAACGTCTAATATAAGTCTTTTCGGCATTTCTCACTGGGTTTATATTTTCACCGTTACATTTCTCGACATTTTCGACCATTACATCCTGACGATTGCACTTTGCACGACACTTCGTACACTTTATCACGTCACAACAATTATACAATAACTTTTACAACACTCACGTTATTAATCACACTTACAACGCGTATTTCGTTACCTGGATTAAATAAATAATATTGAAAAATATGACCGCATGAAACACAACTTGTTTGACACTTACTCCATAATGACTTTCCATAAAGACTGAAAATAAGGCGCGCGCATATACATTTCATATATTCTTTCCTTGTCTATTTAATTTGTGAAATTAGTTATATTTCACACTTATATTTCCAACAAGCTATCAATTATAGTCAACTAGTCATTGACAATGAAATATATTTTAAAAAATCCTATTCTAATTAATATAAAATAAACGCCGTTAATTACAAGAAAAGGCTTTATTATCAATAATGTTAATAAAGAAGAGGAAGATAAAACATGTACGCGCGCGCGCTTTCAGTATTCGTCACGTGACCTATTTTAGTTCAAGCAACGTCCGAATCTAGATGTCGTTGAAATTGCGCGCGTTTTCCCTAACCTTTCAAGAGGAAATTGTATCTCTCATAACCTACCATAACCTGCTGCAGCCGGCACCATTATAAGCATGTTTTGTTAGAAGTATCTTGTATGTAAATCTTATAATTATTTATATTTATCAAAAAAATAAGATTGAGAGAGAGAAGAGGAAAAATCTGAGAAATGTGAAAGTATCGTAATATCAAATACAACAATGAGTAGTCAGATATGTGAAAATGAACAAAGTCTTTGTAATAATAACGTGTCGGACCATGTGGGATTACAAGTGACTATGCCTATGAAAACAGAAAATGTATCTCCTAACAAGACAGCTAATCTTCAAAATGATTGTAAAGATAAAAATTTGAATAGTCCTGTGTCTAATACTATTTTATCATTTAATGAAAGAGAATTACAAGATTTATTGAAGAGCCCATTTAAGAGTCCAAAATATAATAACCAAGAAAAATTCTTACAATCTAGCAACACAACTCCAATGAGCAAAGTAGGTTCACAAAAGAAAAGAAAAAATAACGCATGTGATGACAATGATATATTAAATTCAGAATTATATGCAGAACATTTTAATGACTTTGAGGCAATCGATATGTTACATGATTTAAATTTTGTAGCACATTTTGAGAATACCAAACCATCAGATATTTTGTTATCCACAATGATAGATGCTGATACAAATGCACAAGAAACTGATGAAAACCTGATAGAAATAAATAAGGACCCACTTAAAGATCCTCTTTCTATTAGTGATCACGAAGAAAGAGATAGTGATACAACACTTACAAAATCAAAATCAAAGTATTCAGTGCAAAAAAGAAGATCGATTCGTCTTTCTAATAAACGAACTAATAGTAATACTACCAATACTAATACTAATACTAACAAATCTTTTAAAAAATACAAAGGCAAATTAAATACAAAAGAGAAACATCTTTTAGAAGAGTTAGAAAATATTGCAGAACAAGAAGAATTCTCATTAACTGTCATAAAAGTTAGTTGGTTGTATCAAATGTTACATACATAGTTTAATTTATATGTCAACTAATTGACTTATTTTGTAATATAATATTTCCAGAAATTGCTGGTACTACATATAAAACTAATACATAAGGTGCCTCCACAACATAAAATAGAACTTACTGGAGCTCATGCACCAACAAAAGAAGAGAAAAGATTATTTCAAAAACATGGACCACTTCGAAGAGGTCCATACTCTCCAGCAGAGGACAAAATTATCAGGAAGAACTGGAACACATTTTGCGACGTATGTTTTAAATAATATATAATTTTATTACTAGATTAATATATTTTATTATAATAAATTATATTTTGTTTAGCTTCATAATTGGGATCCAAAAATGATTCAACCATTTTTATATTGGAGGCATAATATGAAATATTACATAGATAATGTGCAAGAAAGACAAAGATTTGTTCAATTTTTGGCAAATGGATTACCATGGCGGACTCTCTTTAGTGTTTACTCCAGATTTAAAACATTATATAACAATAAAATCACTTACACTCGGTATGTTTTAAATATTTTAAATTAAGCTTGAACTTACTCTGCTCATATGTAATTTATGTTTTAGATATACTTCAGAAGAAGATGAAAAGATTTTAATGTATATACAGAATAAACATCTTAACGTACGTAATACTAAATATATTGAACTGGAAAAATTATTAAAACGAACAAGAAGATCAATTATTAAACGATATCGATTTCTTAAAAAGACTAAAAATAAATCAAAAAATGAATGTAAGTAATTTATACTAAGATAATGATATTTTTCATTAAATATCATATTTCTTTATACCATTTTTCTAAAATTTTCTCTATAATATGTCCACATATGTATATAATAAAATTTATTTAATTTAATTGCAGCATCAGTAAACATTAACTGGACATTACCATTGATCAAGGAGTTCATAGAAAATTTACTCGATGTAACGTTAAGTGAGGATATAGAAGAACTTAAATATGCTACACTGCCTAAATCAGTGTGGCAGAAATTGGAAGAAAAACTAAATATACACGAAACTGTTTTAAAAACATTTTGGCAGCATCAATTGCATTTACAATTATTTAGTACGGGTCCTATCTACTTAAATGATATTAAGATAAAGTTAATTGAATAGTAAGTATCATACATAATCATATCCATGTATTCTTAACTAGCTAGGATTCTGTAATCTTGTCTTCTCCTTTTGTTGCTCACATTTACCAATAATAGCCTCAATCATACAAGCATAAGTAAAATAAGAATACACACGAGATTAAAACTATTTTATTCCATTATTAATATAAGTGAGAATTAAGAAAATTTATAAAAAGATTACATAAAGGGTTTGTTCAATTTTCATGAGATAAAAATAAGGATTAATTAAATTACATTTATTGCAAAAGAAATTAGTTTTAATACATTAATTTAATACATTACAAAATGTTATTGAGTCAATTTATAAAAATGCATTTAATATTACAGTATGTATGGAAAAGGAATATCAAATACTCGTGAGATTATTTGGCCCAATGTTGCACGGCATTTTGAAGGAACAACTGCGGCATTTCTCTGCAAAACTTTTTTCTATCTCGTCCAAGATTGTAATCTGAACAACGTGGACAATTTTGCAGGTAACAAAATTATTTTATTCATTTATTATATTCCTATAAACGCATTATGAACAAATTTGTATAAGAATTTTTGTGTTTACAGATGTTATAGAATATTTGTATCATACTAAAATTTCCGAAATTCAAAATGCTCTGATGGATAAATTCTTACCTAAAATTGTATATGAACAGGAAAACATTTATATACTAAATGAAAAAGGTGATGCAGTCACAACTGAGTGATTTTTATACTGATGATTAATTTGTATTTTATGTATTACTTGTATTACAGTTGATACATCTTTTAATACTATAAATTACAGTACACTATTTTTATATCTGAAATAATGTATACTAAAAATACAATTATGTCATTCTAAATTTACATACTATTTGAAATATATTTTTAGATTTGAATTTTTAGATAAGAAAAACACAAATGCTATTATTATGCAAATACCTGTTTAATTAAAAAAGTGATACAGTGACTGATAGAAAAGTCTCTGTAATAACATACAAATATCACATAAAGTGTAACTTTTATCCTTTTTCTCGTTGTCTTGAAATAAATTCACATTTTACTTTTTCTTTGATTCCTTCTCAAGTGCTTTTTCTTTTGCCTTTTGATATAATGGCACAAGCTTACCATCTTTAGCAAGAATCTTCAAAAGTTCCATAATAAGAGGTAAATAATTATGTTTTCTTCTAATATTCTCTATCTGATATCTTCTCGATTTTGTCATTTCTTCCTCGATTAGCGATTCTAAACGATCCAGTTCTGCAGGATCACAAATGTTGGCTTTTTGTCTTTCGTATACAGTTTTTCTGTCTGTTACTATAGCCATTAGATTGAAATGAATTTCATCTCCATTATACCTGTTCATAAATGTGTTTACTTGTATATTATACAGCTGACAAGCAAGCTATATATGTATGTTCATCTTTGCAAAAAATAATTACATAGAAGTATATGTCACAACTTACTTCTTTATCTGCTTCTCAATTATAGGCTTTGCAGCTTGTACCCATTGTTCTCCTACTGGGCATGGGCCTAAATCAATTGGTCCATCTTTTAATCCATCTAATTCATATAAACGTCCATCAATCGGAACATAACTTACAAAATGAAACACATCGTCATCCTTAGATGCTTGTTTTGAGTCATATTCAAATAAATTTTGCCTAAAATTTGAGTATACAAAATAAAATTATTATCATGGAATAATAATAATAATAACATTAATATTAAGATAATATTAATAATGTTAAGTAATTGATTGAAAAGAATATTACCTGGAGAAAGAATTATGCACTTCCCGTATAACATCAGAATTGCTAAGGGCAAGTCCACGCATATTTGCATCAAAACTTTGACAAAAATTTTTAAATTCCTCTAAATTTGGTCCTAAAGATATGTCCGCATGTTTACAATTTAATAAAACACTCAATATGGCTTGTGTCGCACAAGCGTTGTTTATTACCTAAACAAATCATCGTTATTTAAAATCATGCATATCATATATTACACGCATATTGTTACTTTAAATAAGATTTAAAACCCTTATTGTTATGATAAGCAAATAGTTATTTACATAAACCCATAAAATTGTCATAGTATAGATCTGATTAAATAATTACAAAATTAATTTTGTCCATATATCAAATACCAATTTTATTCATATACCATATACCAAAACATTTATTGTTTTACTATTATAAAGTATAAAGCTAATTGTTAACGATCATTTTTTATTTATTCATCTTTTCCCATTATAATTATTTTAGGTACCTGTTTTGCAAAAAATATTTTGTCCAATCTACTATCTTGCACAATACTTCCTGATAGTTCATCATCTTGTATCCATTTGAATAAAAATATCAAACCATGAATAGGCCTATGAGAAATGATTTATAACAGAATAAGTATATGATTTAAGAAATGATTTATAACAGAATAATAAAAAATGACACTACAAAAATCAATAGTCAATACAATCAATAAAGAACACTCTCTTCTAAATTACTGACATAAATTTTGTTTTTATATATTTTTTATATTTTACACTTAAAATCAAACAAGTACATATTATGGAGAACAATAGAAGCAATGTGAAAAGTGTAGTTTAAAAAATATTTAATTTGTCTTAAACTGTCTAATGAACTTTACACCGTCTTTTAAATAAAAATTATAGTTCTTATACAGAATAAACTTACTTCAATTCATCGAATTGCTTATCATCCAAACTCCATAATTCTTCCACTTGTGCTCCTTTGACTCCTATAGATATAAAATAATATATATTGATCTATTTACACAAAAATTTCAATTTTATAGGTTATAATCGCATTGGCATAAAGATAACGTTTAAGATCCGCTGCGATCAAATTGACCCTGTGTGTAATTGAATTGTAAATGAAAACTACTGAAGAAGTTTGAATTACCGAATTCTTTAATTAACTCTGTAAAGACGCCAGGATCACTTTCAATGAGACACCAATTTCCTGCTGAATCCGCCATATTTTATGAATTATAACTAAGCAAGCAGCAAGCAGCATGAGAAAGAGAATACACACATGCGCAAGCTACATATGCATGTGAGCTCCGCACTTCGGCTCCTTCGGCTAGCTACGGACATTAGAAAAGAGCAGACATGTAGAATGGCCCTATCTTATGGTCGATTCATATTATATCAAATGTCCTTTTTACATCCAATAAGAAAATGTATTTTCTAGAAACTTTAGGTAATAATATTTTTAATCCGTAAAAAATTACAGACTTTTTGTCACTAAATAATTCAATGTAAGTTCTCCCTTAATGTTTGTTCGCCATTTTATTTGTTTACGAAGTGTTACATTTATTATGATCTAAAAGATTCGACTTCTAATTGTCATCAGCATTTATTAACAACATAGATGATTCATGGTGTAATTGTTTAATATACTTGATGACAAATTTATGATGCTTGATATGAGATGTCAAATTATATCAGATTATAAATTTACAACATACGATAATAGTGCGAGTATATTTTGCAATTAGTGTCGTATCTACGCTTTCAACATTTTCCACAAAGGAAAATGTGGATTTATTTTATATTAGCCGTTTTCGGCATGTTTGACTTTGCAATGGCTTCCAGTGGATTTGATTTCGGCGACACCCTAGCATTAATTCTGGGCTTAATCATCGGGATTGTCGGATTTTTCGCTTGCATGGGGGCTTATGCAAGGAGGCGTAATCACTTTGAATCTTTGTAATGAATTGCAACATTATTGCAACATTTGTAAATATGTTTAATGGTAAGTACAATTCCATTTGTACGAATATTTATGACTTGCCAAATGATAAGATGTATGTCTTATGCTATGTAATAATGTAACATTACAAGAAAGATTTCTTATATCAGAGTTTAAAACTTTACATTAATATATTCAGAAGTTTACTTAGAAATTTACTTTTACTGATTTGTCTTCAAAGAAGTAACAATGCCATGCTTATTCTATTATATTTATATATATTATTACTATTGACATTAATTTGTTGAATAGTACATAATTTTTTCCTTTGGTATGTTTACTGAAATAAAATATGATACTTGTATAGTGACATTTGAAAATATTCTTGTTTTATCATTTCTCGCAGGTAGGTAAACAATATACACTCCTATAAATATGGAAAACAAGAAATCCAACCTGTCAAGAAACATAAACAAAAAAAAAACAATTTGAAATCTTTATGTATATTAAAGGATAATTCTAAGAAGATGCTTGTTAAAATATATTATAATAATTGCATTGAATTTATGTATCATAATTATCTCTGTTATAATAAAAAGTATATGAAATGAAAAACAGTACTATATTATTCCAACAGTGTTACATATATTATAAGAAAGTGGTAATTCATCTTTATTACATATCAGTTTATTTATTTCTTTTTATTAAGTTTACAATTTATTAGTAATTTTAACATTTAATGTCTTTTAATAAAACTCATTAGTAAAATTTCTACACGTTTCTTATAATATAATAATATTGTATTTTAATAACTGAAATGTATTGATTAAAAGTTTTTTAATTGGCAGTAAAACTTTCCAGCAGATCGTAGATATTTGAAAAAAATATTTTTGTATTTTATAATGTAATCAAACTGTTTTTTGATTAAAATGTGATTTTTTAAAAGTAATGATTAGTTAATATTATACTTTTTTAAATTCATTTCTTTGTGAAATCATTATTTTACGTAATTCTCTGTTTGAAATCTTGCATTTTCCTTATAACAGATATACATATTTAATAGAACTAAATTCTTAATTTTATATAATGTGACTGATTGTGTGTCATTATTAGTGTTGTGCAAATGTATATTAATAAAAGTTTTAACATTTGGTGTGAAAGTAAAATATTACAATTAATTTATCTCCTTGATAATATATGTATATCAAATTTTTTCAAATATTTGACATCTCTTCTTCAATTTCAAATTCTCTTTTTGAAATTCAATCTTTCCTTTTTTGAATAAATATGCAGTTAAATATGAAGTAAATAATAAATTGATTGTGTAAAGAATAATAAAGAACAAGTTACTTTTCTTATATCATTTTTGATTTTACCTATAATCAGTCTTTCTTCACAAAAACTCTGTTCCATATGCTTAAAGACTCAAAACATTTAATCATTTAGCATGTAAGAAAACTATACCTTTTTTTATCAAGGTTTTGAAACAAAATTTATGACTGGTATAAAATTATTTTTAAGAACATTTGCATGAAAAAATACTTATTGATTTATAAAGATTTATAATTGATAATCAAATTAAAGAAAATTATACTTATGCCAAATTATTTTTTCAACTAGTGAAATCAAAGTGATGTAATGTATGTTCATTCAATTAATAATCTTAACCAACATTTCACTTATTTCTCTAGCATATAACATGTGCAATATCTACTAAAAAATGATTATATTTATTTCTAATTCGTTAGTCATTATTTATATAAATGTTGCTAACAATTCTGTATATTTACCATTAAATCAATCAATGCTGGGCATACAACTGTACATGCAAGCTGCAGAATGTAAAAAAATATCAGCTATTGTTTGTTTTGCTTCTTGCAGACAATATCCAAATAACAAGTTTATAATCAAACTTTATCAAGCTCAATTCTTCCTCAAGACAACTGATAATAAATTGACACTCATGATAAATTTAGTTAGCATAAAGTCCAGGAAACTTTGTTGCATTACTTTATGTATATATATTCTTTGGTAAAATCATAAAAAATATTTTATGACATAAGAAAAACCGAACAGTATTTTTGTTAATATATATCTGCATGTTTGTATGCATAGGGATAGTTAAAATTGCACTTACTCTCTGAAAATGTTTTTAAGTGCCATTCTCCAGATAAAGCTCCGTTTTTCAACTACTTACTCTCAGTTTCATATATGTATATCAACCGGGTTTGACGTAATAAGCAACTTTTCATATGAAATTGCACGACTGAGATTTGTTAGACATAACGCAACATCAATATCCGAAGAAAGAAAAATATGTAACCAGCTATATGTGCATGGACTACTGAAAAAACCTCCCAGCAAGTAAAGACTCAGTTAAGATTAATATCTATTAAACTCATACACTATATATAATCATGACAATTAGGTGAGTACATGCCTGCATCTGTCATCTTCTCTGATAAAATTATCGTGTAAGGTAATAATCTATGTCTCAAGTCAGTGTAATATAATAAACTATTGCAGTTCCTATAAGAACATTTCAACAGACTTTAACATAATATTGTGACATAAAAGCATCAAAAAGAAGCCTTGTATTTAAAAGGAAGTTTAATCTCAGCATCGTTCAAGATAGTCATGAGTATCAAAACGAATAACTTAAAGCACTTTTTTCTGAATATGATAATGTGTGTAGTATAAATATTTGACAACTGAAATAGTATTTAAAATATTGATAATTGTCATATTATTAAAGAATATCAATTAAGACAGTTTTTTTTTCAAAGAAAAATTGTATACATTATGTTTTGTTGGGTGTTTCAATAATATCCATAATAATGTAAAGAATTTTCACTGTAAATAAAAGATTTGTATGCAATTCAAAAAATCGATGATCGCGAATTTTTTGGTAAGGTATATATTCAGCAGTTATTACAATTAAAACTGCAATTGAATGTTTCACTGCCCGAAGTGACGTGTCACAGATCATTAAGAACTAAAAATTCTCTAATTCTATGTTGACAGTAATGTGTTAACCAGACCGATTAAAACGCTAATAGTCGAACTGCCAACAAACTGTCGTCGATGATCTACACAGATGGCATCGGATAATTTCTCAATTATTACATCGTATCAAAATAAACAACGGTAGTCAAAACGGCTACTACCAGCTTTAAAAGAAGATAATAATCATCAATAGTAAACGAGATATATGGGTTTGCTAACTAGTAACACATGACTTTTCTTCTTTAATTGAAATAGGCAAAATCGCTAGAAATACATTAAAGCATAACAGTGACTATATTAATCATATCTTTCTCTGCCTATTTACCTCCGATACGTATCCGCACAGTCATACTCATACACACAGCGCGCGCATTCGTGCATACATATTCATACTTGTATATACGTTGCACTCTATCTCTCTCGTTTCTCTTTCATTCTCTATCTTTCAACTCTTCTTCGAACCTTGTCATTCGATCTCTCTCGCTCACTCAGTCTCTAACAGTTTGTTTCTGACACATCCAGCATACAAAGTAACAGTTATACATATATATCGAGCAGAATGGCTGTGTGCCATTTCGATCGTAAGACTAGCGGAGGCCTGTACTAATGTGAGCTGTGCTACTAAAGGAATCGAGCAATAGTAGAATCCCTTAGAGGTCTCAGCGAAGGAAGATTTTTTTTTCATTTTTTTTCTTTCGTTTTCTCTTTAACGCATCGAAGCACAGTACATGTAAAGGCCTCTATCTCAAGTTCCTGCGTTACATTCGGAAAACTTGTATATACGCTTCTTTGCCCTTCCGCATTATTTCCGCTTTACTTCCGCTGCGAGGCACATATCAGAATAATATCATGCACACGCTCAGATAGCGAGAATATTTGATATCTTGTTTAATACATCCAAGTACGTCGTACATCGAAAAACATGACACTTCCACTCACGTCTTTTTTTTTTTTTTTTAATCCGCCTTCACATCTTTATAATAATGTCTAGCAACGGCGCGCGCATTTTATAGCAAATTATACATTTGGATTACATTTGTGATGATAAAATGCGAAACTCCGAGTAGACGATACCGAGCATTAAACTAATGAGCACAGATCGATCGGAAAATATAGAAGCGTGTGAACCGAGTGTTACGTTATTGATCCGAATGCAAGGAAGGGACCGTCGAGTTCTCGACGGTGGTTGAGTGATGCGACTCCGTCGTTGGAGGCGTATCGTCGCGCGAATTTGCTATGTGAGACGCAGCGGGTGTCGCTGGCTGAGATTGAGTCGTCCCGGTGGGCGGTGCGTATATCAGCCGGTATCCAGCTGGTAGAAAGAAACCACCGTGGGGGGTGCAGCTAAAGGTTTGAAAATTCGATAACGGCTGACTCTCATGATATTGAATGTAGGCGCCCGTCGAACTAGGTATCGGTAAGGGCGCCGACGCAGGTAAAGATCCAGTCACCGACGTAATATTCGTCCCCTCCGATAATATAGGAGCGAATTGGTACTGTGTCGGATTACTAATCGCCGGACTGTGTGTCGAATCGATGCTTTCGCATAATATGTCATTCGAGCAGTTATTATTCTGCTGAGAAACTACACTTTGTATATTTTCGGAAGGCACTACTGGAATTGGAATAACATAAGCATGTGGTATTCCAGCTGATGCCTGCTGTGGCTGAAGCTGCAATGGCGTCTGCTTCAATTTCTGCATGGCCAGCCGTAAAGTCTCGTCAGTGTCCGGATAGTTGTTCGGACCTTTCTGCAATGGAGTCTGCGGCGCTGTGCTGAACATCAAATAGTCTTCCGTGCCTGGAATTCTAGGCCCTATAGAATGAACAAAATAATACAATATGCGTTATTGTACATGCATATATGCACACATGCATATGTATAATGGAATAAAATTAATTCATGCCGACCAGAGATATTTGTTGCAACAGTGTGATAAAGCAACGGATGGTGCTGATGCTGATGAAGGGCGCTTGCTTGTTGCTGCTGCTGAATAAGCAATTGTAACTGATGTTGTTGGAAACGTTCCAGCTCCTCCCTGTGTCTTCTTTGCAATGTTTCCAATTCCAGAGTTTGCCTATACACAATAAAAATATTGTTAAATACGCCTCATGAGTAGTAATTTCTGTAATTTACGTTCAATACATTTTGAACTTCACTTTGTATTACAGATATGTTCCGTCATATTCTGCATAAAAGATAAATTTATATTCTTTATTATTTATACATGTTTCCTACATTCTAAATAAATACTCTACCTTTTTATAAGCAGTTGGTATTCTTCACTCGGTGTAAGAGCTACAAATCTTTCTTCTTTTTCAATCTACAATATTAAATAACACAATGATAATTTTAAAATTATTAAATTACAAAGTTCTCTTTTATAGCACAGCATATTTTGTTACAATTAAAGTTACAAAATAACTTACTTCCATATTCGAAATATTAGTACCATGAGTTGCCTGTACAGTTGGCGGAACAGAATTCTCTCGACTATGAGGTACTTGTGCAGGTACACCTGTAATACGCGTAAATACGCGTAAATACGCATCATCCATTTCCATGAAAATATTCTTATTTAATAAGTTTAGTTATTATCTGATTTTTATTATTGAAATGATCTCTTACCATGCAGATCATCTGTATGGTAAGAAGGAACATTTTGCCGTTCTAAAATTTTTAATTCTTCCGCTTGTTGCAATTGAGCTCTCGTCGCATCAGTAGACTGTTGTTGATTAACAGTAGTGTTACTATGAGCAGGTGGGCCCGCAACTTTGGAAACCACAAATCTCGAAATTTTTCGGATAGGTTGTGTAGGATTCGCCTTCTATTCACATAAAATAATATCTCAATATTAAAAAAAATATACATAAAATAATTTCTCGTGATATTTTAATTTGATTATATTTCAGAAAGTAAAAAACATAACATTGACTTCGTCTAAATATCAAATAAATAATCGTAAGTAAATTTGTTAATTAAATTCGTACGTATAAAAGAATAAATATATCATTAAAAATATTGCAGAAAATAAAAATTACCTCGTTACCGTCCTGGAGTTCTGTTTGAATTGGAGTATTGGTACCAGATCGTGGTGTCACAATGTTGGGAGTGACAGTAGCCACTGGTACTGTTGAGCCTGGAGCGGTCGTCAGTAAATTTTGCGCGGATTGTTGCATTGCTACAGGATTAATCATCGATAATGGCTGCGTCGGAGCTGCTGCAAAAATTGATCCTCTATGGTGGATCTTTGCCAATTCCTGCTCCAATTCCTGCAAACGAGATCCCGGTCTTTGAGCTCGTATCTTTGCATTCTCTTTGCTTGGGCTCATAGTTTCAGACCCTGTAGGAGCTCCCGGCGTTGGACTATCGAGGGAGCATTCCACATTCTGTAAACGGATTGTTTTGTAAATACTTTCATGGTGATAAAAAAAACTACTAGTGCATTAAGTACAATATTCCACGGAGAACTTACCGTTTGAGAAAATGCAAATGCACCAGAGTTCTCTTGGGTTATAACGGAGCCTTCGTTAGTCGCATCAACTTGCGTGTCAGGGAGAATAGTAGAAGAGTGTATTGTCGTTTGAGGAGATAATGGGCATACCGCATTCGCAGACGAAACTGGCATACCGATATTATACAATTTCTGCTGCAAAGAATGCATGTACGCGTCGTATCCTCCTACTATTTGATGATTATGAGGCGTAGCGGGATAGCTTATAGGTGGTGTACCGACGTTCAACGATTCCGACGGCTGACTAGTCAATTGCACGAGTTTCTGATGTAAGTCAGCTATGGTTTGCGGCCCTGTGCCATTTCCAATACTCCCCATGCTGCTCATATCTGACACTTTATCCAATGAATTCTGTTGACTGAGTTTGCGGTGTTGCTGCTGCTGTTGATATTGTTGTTGCGACAACTGTTGTTGTAACATTGATGTAGAATCGATAGATTCAACGAAAGTGTGTTCAGGCGTCACATCGTGACTGGAGTTCTCATTCTCGGACATAAGTAATTGGCAATCGGAACTAGTACGATGTATACTGAAATGAAAAATTGAAACTTAATACAAATTATGACACATTGCTATGACAAATTATTAGACCTTTTACGTACATTATCGAACAAAAATAGTAAATATGCATACCAATTTAAATTTGAAGAGTCCAAATTCTCGGTTTCCAAATATTTTACTGGATTCTGCTCTGGAAGTTTTAAATGTAAGTTTGATTGTTCTATTACAACGGAAGATTCGCTATGTTGCTGATCTTGTACAGTCTGTTGTTGCATTTGTGATTGCATCGGGATCTGTTGCAGATGCAATTGATTTTGAAGTGGTTGCAGCTGATTCGGTTGTATAAGTCGCATCGGTTGCTGGAGAGGAATTTGATTAGCAGTAACAATCCACTTTCCTTGAGCGATTGATTGTCCCGCTACAGTTTGAAGAGCCGACTGCATCATCTGTGTTTGCAGATCAATTTGTTGAGGGATTGTTAGCGGAATTGATTGCAATATTGGTATTTGACTCTGGTGAACCAACTGCTGATTTGGAAATGCTTGTTGAAAGTTTTGCTGCGATTGATATCCCTGATGAATAATCGGTCCTTGATAACTTTGTTGAATAGGCGGCTGAATCTGCAATTGGCTCGCTTCCGGTTGTATAGGTTGAAAATATTGTTCAGATTGCACAGGTTTGTAATCGATTAACGTAGAAGTGTTTGAGATGGACGTTGGCTCGTGGCTGGTTAAAGGATGAGGTGTGGCGGATTTGGATTTTGGATTTGAAAGTATGTTCGCCAAGTTTTGCGCGAGATCAGGGAGTGTCGAGGATACCTCTTTCGTTTTGATTGTGGCTTTGGGAATAGAAACGTCCGTAGCTACGGCCGAATGTACAGGAAGGGGTACTGGCATGGACGGGGGCACATTTCCCGAAACATGTTGCACATTCTGATGAGTAGTCTGAAATTGTTGAGCAGTTTCCACGCTCTGCGTCAACGGCATTGTACTCTGCTGGTCTTGCGCAACAACTTGTACATGCTGCATGTGCGCTACGGGCACATTAGCCACTGTCACACCTTGCCTTTTCTCTTCAGATATATTGGACGATTCCGACAATTGGGAGTCCACAGACACGTTCGACGCGGTAGATATACTCGATACTCTACGATTTCGATCGTCTACATTCGGTTGTATCGACTGCATGTGTCCCGACAGCATTACGTATTGCTGTGGTGGCTGCACTTGTTGCGGGACGAATTGCTGCACTGCTGGACGTTGGGCTTGCATCTGAGCTTGATGTTGATGCTCTGCTTGCACATTCTGATGCGGCTGTGTTATTACACTCTGCTGTATAGGAATCTGCTGCTGTATCACAACGCCAGGTTGCATTATCGCCTGGTTCGGATACTGCGCCTGTGCTTGAGCCATTCCGTTCGTGTGAAGCGGCTGCTGTATCTGCGGCATCTCTTTCTGCGAATTTACCGGCACAAAGTGCTGCACGCCAGTCTGAGGTATTTGCTGAGTCGCTTGCTGCGAAGTTATAGCGCCTTGTAAAATTATAGTGTGCTGCTTTGATTGTCCGAGTGTTGTAGTTTGTTGCACATGTCCCGTTACTTGTTGCAGCGTTTGCACTTGAATAATATTTTGCTGCATTCCGACCGATTGTTGCCCTTGCTGCAAAATCTGTTGAGTGTTGTCTGTTTGTTCCACGGTATACGGAACTGCTTGCACCACTTGATCATTATTGCTAGCTTGTTCGTGCACTGTTATATTTTGAGTATCCAACACATTCACTTCCACATGTTCCTCATTTTTTAATACAGGTTCTACAATCGCGGTAGGCGCGACAGATTGAACTGCTGATTGCGATGTTGCGATATTGGTACGATCCACGGTTTCGTTAACGGAAGATTCCTCTTCAGCCGCGATATTCTTCTGCTCAACTACAGGACTAACCAAGAAGCGAGAAACTTTACGCACTGGCTGTGGTACCGTCAAAGCGGATACCTCTGTAGCTACATCAGACGCACTTGTCTCCTTAGCCGTTCCAGATTCTTTCATATCCACTATATCTTGCTGTTCTTGAGATTCTTTCGGTGCGTCACTTACATTATTCGCACTCACCATAGCATCCTGAATTTGAGTTTGCGTTGCAGAACCTTGGTAAGATTGGAAAGGCGAATTACTAGTGTCGTCTTGAATATTGTGATGCGCTTCCACCACTGTTTCTGCAGACGTTGCAGAAACAATAGTTTCCTGGGTGTCTGTTGGATCACTCGGTATATTTGTAGGTGTTAAAGTATCGGTATTTTGCGTAGACGTAGATGACCTCCTAGAAGCCTCCGCTGACGTATTTTCGGCGCCTGCTTGATCAGGTGTTTGAACGGTTTGTTGCTTTTCCGAAGTAGCGCTGGCAATATGAGAAATAATTTGGTCGATCGGCAATAATTTCGTCGGAGTGGAAGTGTTTGAAGTTTCGTCTCTCTGAAATAGATAAAACATTCGTTATTATCTCAAACATATTTATTGGTAATAAATATAATAAAACAATAACTAATAATAAACAGATTAACAATTCTGCATCATCAGTTTTTAAATAAATATTCAATTTCACGATTAATACCATCCATTTTTAGAAATATTTTAAATAAATTTTATATAATTTTGTCTTATACAAAATACTTAAAAAATATCTACGAAGCAGCAATGTTATAGATTTTATGAAAACATTTTCTTTTTACTTTATATACATTGAAATATAACATATCTCACTAAAATATCATGCAATATTGTAATAGTGTGATGCACAATATGTTCATACATGAAAAAAGTGTCTTATTGCAATATTAATAAACTCAAATCAACATTTTTTATAGCATATTTCAATATGCTATCAGCAATCAACAATAAAATAAAAATACATAAGAATCTGATATAAATTGACACGTTCAATGAATACAGCACACAAAATAATTATTTTGATGCATATAACATTATAACACGCTATATAACACAATAATGTGAGATGATCTGCGAAAAAAAAGGATGTAAAAATATTTTGATACATAAATACATAGAACCTGAAAGAAAGTTCCGAATTTCAAAAGCTTTTTATGTGCATGGAAATCAATTTCTTAATTATGGCCTATTCAAAATATTTTCAAAATAATTTTTTCCCGTGTGGTGAGAAAAAAATTACTATCATAAAAAATTGAATTTTTTCCAAAGATATCAAAACTTTCTTAGGTTCGTAACATATATATAACGTAAACCTATAACAAAATTATAATGGCCTAAAACTGTGCAAATCTGGGCGTAATCCGTTGCTAGTGTAACAAAAACGAGATGCGTAAACGTCCACGATTGTACGATTCTGAAATACAAGAAAAACAGGAGAAAGGATGGTGGGATCGATGAACTCACCGAACGGTGCCTACGATGGACTTTGTACGACGATCGGTGGCTGCTTTGACGTGTTAGCGAGCCATGTCTCACCTGCTGCGTCCAAAACCATATACAACCAATTATATGCACACCCTTAACTCTATATTTGAAATATATGCTCCATACAAAGTCTCCTATATTATTCCCCTCTGCTAACACTACTGTCCTAGATCATGGTTTACTTTCTGATGGAAATGTAAATTGTTTGAAGAGAAAATGATCACACTAATTATACGAGTCATCACATTAAACCCATTTACATGATCAGAGAACACATAAAAGTTTTATACATAAAAGAGTGCCCAGTGAAAAATATTAATGGCAGAGAATTCTGTAAAATATGATGCAAGTACCGTTTATACCATCTATAGCGTTCTTAATAACGACATATTTAATATTTAATTTATTTTTTAATTATTAGAGAAATTGTACCTTGGCTGTATCGAGACTGTGGTCACGGTCCCTAGGACGTCGACTTGTAACAGGACTTCCACCGGCGGATTGGTCGGGAGGACCGTGCGCTACCAAAGGTAGGGAACGTGTAGGGTCCAAGCGCAACTGCTTGACAATGTCTTCGATTAATTCTATAAATGTCTCGCATTGGGACTGTGGCAATAGATTTTCCGCTACCTGAATATCAAGAGAAAAAGAGATATGAGATAAAAAGTGACATGTCAGATAAATCAAATGTTAAGATTATCGTTCTTACCAAATTATTGGCAATGTCCGTAGGCACCATATCATCTCGATCAAATTTAAAAGTAACAGTCTTTTGTTTACTCGTATCTAACTGACACTCGACGGTCATTGATTGCCCCTCGCCACTACTAACAGACAGAACTGTCAGTTTAATGCCTGGCTTCTTACGTTTCGTTCCCGAACGCTTCACTCGACTTCTCTCGGAAGCGGCAACACTTTCAGAATTTTCAGGCGTAACTCTGGAAAATAAAATACTTGTGGTTAAATCTCGTTCTCTCAATTATTTCTTATTCATCTTTATATTCATTCTTTATTTTAACTCACCCATCATTTGACGTTGTAGGCTGCGGCTGCGGCTGCGGCTGCGGCTGCGGCTGCGGCTGCGGCTGCGGTTGCGACTGTGGCTGTGGCTGTGGCTGTTGCTGCTGTACAACGTTCGTTACGACTGCAGCAGAGGTGACAATTTGATCTTGCTGTAAATTCATCGGTGTGTCCGGTGGCAGAGATTGTATCGAATCCATCGTGTCCTGTTTCATCAAGGTAGACCTGTCGGTCGTCGGGCACTGATCTGTATTCGCAATGAAATGTTGTTGATGTTGCTGCTGCAGACTGGTGGACGTTTGCGCCGGGACATTTGTAACATTCGACGTCATTGAGAGAGAATTAGGTATAACATTCGCACTTTGCGAATATTGCATTTGTACGAGAATATTTTGCTGAGACTGAGGCTGATGATTGGTATTGCCAAGTAAAGCGGACGCACCCTGCATATTAGGGATCGTTGAAGTCGGTACATTCTGTATGTGAGTCACAGCAGACGAGCTATTGACACTCATGCCCGACGGTATGGGCGCTTGAACCTGCGCCGCTGGCTGGATATATTGCGACTGTGACGATGCAGCCACTGCAGCAGTCGGTAAACTCGCATGTGAGTAAATCTGCGTCGCGGTTTGCGTGGACGACAAGATCTCTATGTGGCCGGAAGGATTAGTGGACGTGGTGTATGTGTGAAATATTTGTTGCGGCATGGTTTGCTGATACAAAGGACCGGTTGACACATATCCCGAAGAGCCAGTAGCATTCTGCTGATAATATTGCTGATTTTGAACAGGCGGCGAACCAACGGGATGTTGATGCAGCTGCTGTACATGCTGGACTTGCGGTTGCGTCGCGTATTGCTGTTGTTGAAGCTGTTGGTGCATATGCTGCTGCTGCGACAGCATTTGCATTTGAGGTTGTATTTGTTGCTGTATCTGATGAGGGATCTGTTGCGGAACACCCATCTGATTCAATTGTATATATTGCTGTGGTTGATGTAATTGTTGCTGTGGCTGCTGTATTTGCTGTGGCACCTGAGAAAATGAAGGTTGACCCTGAACATTTTGCGGGGTGGAACACTGCGGAGAATTTGCATTCAAACTTTGCGGAACATGTTGAGGATACTGTTGCTGTTGCGATTGCTGATACTGCTGCTGCATTTGTTGTTGATATTGTATCTGCTGTGCTTGTTGAGGCTGCACGACTGACGTTTGCTGTTGAATTATCGGTTGCTGTTGAACCAACTGAACCTGCTGAGGTTGTAAACTGTGCTGTTGAGCTTGCTGAGCGTTCGATTGCAGTTGTTGTTGTTGAATGGGCATTTGAGACTGTTGTAATTGCATCGGAACTTGACTTTGCATCTGTATTCCGATATTGGACTGGATTTGTTGTGGCTGCTGCTGCTGTTGTTGCTGCTGCTGCTGCTGTTGTTGTTGCTGCTGCTGCTGCTGTTGTTGCAACTGCATTTGTTGAAGTAACAATTGCTGCTGTAATAAGCTTTCGGCACTCGCGGCATTGGCTGTGACATCTGTGGCCGTGGCAGTTTCCCTATCCAAACGCTCTTTCTCTTCCTTGGCTTTACGTTCCTCTCTTTCTCTTAACAAGGTGGTAATTTGCGATTTCAACATCTTGGCTACTGCTTTAGCGTCTTCCTCTAGTATAAGACTAGACTTTGCCATTTCTAACGCTACTTCCTCAGCATTATCCGCTTGTATGTCAAAATCGAATTGTATCGCCTCATTTTCTTTATGTTTGTTACTGCGCTTTTTAGGATCCAATACTCGCAATCTAAATTCAACACGTGATAGTTCAGTATCTGCAACTGCTGAATCGCGTGACACCATTTCCAATTTTAATCCAACGTCATCAGCGAAAAATTCATGATTGAGCAAGTCCTTAACAAGCGGTCGCTCTTCTTTCTTCAAACGTATACACATTTCTATAATATCACGTACTTCCGGATTTTCCACTTTATCATAACTCTGTGGCTTAACACCCTGTACGATAAAAGTAAATCGTCATTCAAAAAAGGTAAACATGTCTTCTATATAAATTCTATATAAATTCTATATAAATTCTATATAAATATGAATATTACCACTATTCTTGAATGCTTGAATTGTACATAAAAGTATTAATATGTACATATATTAACTCACCGATACGACACGTTTATATATTTGTGCTGGTCCTGTACATTCGGAATATGGATACTCGCTAGTAGCCATTTCAAGCATACACATTCCAAAAGCATAAACGTCAACTGACTCGTCATAATGCTCTTCGTACATTTCGGGTGCCATGAATTCCGGCGTACCGATAACGCTCTTCGCAAAACTGCGATTCTTCAGTGTTGCAAGACCTAAATCACCAATTTTTACGCTTCCGGTTGTACCCGTGATAAAAATATTATCACATTTTAAATCACGGTGGATAATGGGTGGTGATCTAGAATGAAGGAAGCTCAAGCCTTTCAAAATTTGCCGACACCAAGATTTCACAACTTTAGGATTGATCTTCTTAAATCTCCTCAGATACCTATTATAATGCAGTCAATTAAAATACATACATCTTAAAATAAGAAAGAAACAAACTTTAGAAAAAAACAAAAAAAAACTTACGTTTTTAATGTTCCTGATGTCATAAGTTCAGTGACTAGTACAATATATTTCCTACGAGTAAGTGTAACTTCCCAATAATCGTAAAATCTTACGATATTCGGATGTTGCAATCCTTTCAGCATTTCAGCTTCTTCCCTAAACCTTAATCTCTCTGTTTTATTCAACTTTTTCTCCTATAGAAAATAAAATACTTTTAATTCTCGGGTAAAAATATCTTATCTGATATTTAATTTTCAACTATGTAATAAATTAGTATTATATATTAATATCCAAAAAATCTCTTACTGACCTGCAATTCGCACCAAGCTACAGCCACACCTGTTTGAGTATCTAATCCGCGATAAACGGTCTTAAAACTGCCACGGCCAATTTCCTCTTCGAATTTCAAGAATCTATTGTCCGGCGAAATACCTACAGCTTTCTCTTCATCGTCATCATCCTCGACAGCTTGCACTTTAACTTTCATTAATAAATTTTTGCACCTCTTCCATCGCCATTGTTTTCTGTGACAATTTCTCATCCGCTTTAAAGTTTTCATCGAGCAATGGACCGATAAAGCCTTCCACCGTTTCTTCCTGCACAACTATATCCTTTTCAGAATGCTCTTTCATTTTCGCCTCTTCTCGTAAATCCGTATTCTGCACTTCCTCCATCTCGGTATCTAATAGCGGAACTTTGCCTAATTTACTTAAAGATTCATGAAGCGCCTGTGCTGCCACTATATCGCTGATGCTGGTGCCATCATCATCATATATCGTCACTCTTTCTTCCTCCTCTTCTTTGTCTACTTCCACTGCTGTCTTGACATCCGCTTCCGTTATATCTTCCGGTACTTTTGATGTTACAAATCTCGAGCTCTTAATTACTTCCTCACTTAATCCTGCATTACTCTCAGTCTTCCTCTTATCGGTGGTTACAGTCTTCAGAGGATTTGCGGTTTCTTGATTTGCACTGACGTCATGCACACTATCTGTGTATCCTATAGGTTTTCTACTTTTCGTTTGTTGATTATTACTGTCTGTGGAATTCATTTCTGTGTCCGTTGATATCGTAGCATCATCTAAATCTTTTTCTACATTAACTGCTTCGATATCTTTACTACTATGATGCTCAATCATTTTCTCTGCAGAATTTGTATTTCTATGTTTCACAATTTTTTGATCGCTGTTACTACTAGATTTGGCGCCAACGTTAGAATTCGACAATGGTCTTTGCTTATTATTTGTGATACTTTCCTGATTAATAGATTGTGATTTATGTACTGTGGATGATCTTATTGATATAGAATTTTTTTGTTCAAATTCATTTGAAGTCACGTGTTGTACATCTGCAGCATTTTTTGATAAATCAGTACATTCTGCGAGGGTATTGTGTTCCACATCTGCTTCTTCATTCTTGCTGAATTTTTCTGATTTTACTTTATTAATTGGTGTAGAAGGTGTAGAACTAGATCCTGTAATATAAGAAATTTTTAATTAATGTCTGTAACACATATAATTTTATTTTAAAATGTTTAATCTAGAAAATTTTACCTGGTGTCGCAAACACATTCTCTGTTGCTGCAATTGCTTCTTCAGCATCACTAAAACTACGATCATTTTCATGATCTAAGGATGACGAATTTATACTTTGAGTAGATGACTTTTCGGAAATATGTAGAGCAGATAGTACTTTCTTTTTGGAAGATGGGGAGCTGGTTGCAAGACCGTTACTAGTTACAGACAAAGAATCAGCATTCTGATCATGTCGCTGCGATCGAGTTTGCTTTTTAGAGATACTAGCAGAGCGACTTATATTGGATAACACCTGCATAAAATAAAACAACATTAAATCGCACTTAATGTTATTAAAATACGTGACAGCAATTTGTTAATCATGGTATATTAAATTTTGTTAACTAGTGAATGCAATTTAAATCAAGTAAACGCAATTTAACTTACCTTTCTATCACCAGTAGCATTGGCACTAGGACCTGCCTGCGCGACAATAGATAGTTTTCTTTGGCGTCTATGATGTGCGTGGCTGTGGATCCTTTGAGTAGTGACAACTGCGCAAGGGCCTCCACTTTCCTGAGAGGCTAAGTGGCCCACTGACAAACTGATACCACTTTGGCTGCCACTACCTCCACTGGCCACCAACTTAGGACATAAACTAGACAAGCCACCACCAGTTCCACCCGAAGAACGTTGCCTATTTGTCTCATACCTGAAATTTCACACAGATCATATTTTATGTCAGTGGCATAGGATATATATTTTATTTCACACAAACGAGTTATTTAAATAATACCAATTTCAATCTAAATCTTTGGATTTTTATTTTATTTAAATCTTAAGAACATAAAATTTTACTCAAAAGTCAAAATTTACTCAAAATATTAAATCAATAATTAGTAAAATAAATTATTGAGTTAATAAAAAACTTGTTTTCATAAAAAAGCGTGATGTTTGCATGTACATAAACAACAAATATGATTAGATGAATTATTCATAAGTTATAGTAAGTTACTTAATATATATTTGTATCTAATATTTTTCTTGAGTACAATTTTATTTTTTGGAAGTACATAAAAATTCTGAGAAAGGAGATTGTAATATAAAAAGATATATCATATTTGTTATTTCTATATTTGCCATATATACATGTATATATAGCACATATTTCTATATAATTGTGCAGTTAGTGTTATTTGTAAAAGCATTTTTTTGGTAGCAGTGATATTAATATAGTGATAGTAAAAACAAACTTACTGTGTACCTATAATTATTTATGTGCATTCTCGATTATCTAAATAGGATTTAATCGTAAGAAGATTGAATTTGTGTATGTAAAAAACTATTTTTAATTTTGAATGTGATATTAATGTCTCTGATCTTGTCTTATAAATATTCATTTTACTTTGTTACAATCAAGAAACAATTTTGCACATATATAAACCATTTTTTTTTCTATTTGCATTCAGATTTTATTTAATTCATAATAATTTAAGTAAACTCACATATAAGTGAGCAGATTGTTTTCAAACAATCTAATATATAAAATATTTGTCAATAATTAATTAAAATTTTTTATTTTTTAGCATTAAAACTGAAATTTATTCAGAGTTTTCAGATGATTAATTTATAATATATACAGAAACTTACTTTTACTTTTTCTAAGATTATCAAGAAACAACTACTTAAAAAAAAATCACATATATGCACCATCAATAATAAGATTTTATAAAACAGCATTTCAAAACAGAAAAAAATCAATTGTAATTAGAAAAAAAATTGATCAATAATAACAAAGTGAATAAGAGGTTGTAACAAATGACAATGTAAAAAGCATGATTTTTGATACAGACATCATTATACCTGTCCTGCCTGTTGTGGCCAGAAGAGAGGAATCCACGCACTGTATTGCCTATAGCTGCTCTCTTTTTAGTCTCCCTATTTTTTTCTTTGTGCCCCCCAGATCCAGTGCTCACCTGATGATCCTGACGAATACTTTTATCACCCTAAACAATGAAAAAAAATAATACGAAAAATTATTTAGTAATATTGTAATGTAATATTATTTCTAATATCTGAAATATTAAATTGGAGTTTTTACAATTTAATTCAATAATATAAAATCTATTTCAAATATGCTTAAGTTAAGCAATAAAATTTATCAAAACAAGTTGCAAATTAGTATAAACATCTATAGTATATACATAACAATATATGTATAGTACATAATGAAAACATATAAGTACGAGCATCTATCTTAGAATCTCACCTTTAAACCGAGAAATTTTATGTTTAAATTAGTATTCGTGCTTGTTGGAACAGGACTTAAGTCACACCGAAGTCGTCTGTGCGATTTTTCAACTACTGGTGGATCTTCGTCTGCTTCCAACTGACTTCCAATCGAGAAAGTATTTGATTGTGTTAATACAATATCGTCTGTACTATGCTTATGATTGCTGTTCACTGAACTCACTGTCTTGCTGTCATTGTAGCATCTCGGCATTGCACATAACCAACTTTATTTAAGATTCTACTTCACAAAATTACTTCACCTATATTCCTTAGGTTTTTTTGCTTAACTTTGTTTCAATGTAAAGTTAATAAAACTCATACTACCATTGCCCCTACGAGATAATCAAATTAAAATTTTTCTGACCAAATTTGTTCTTTAACAAGCAGTCTTTGTTAAAAGATTTAAAATATCCGTATCTGTAACATTTTGAGTCTAGGCTATAGATCTTGCCATACTAACTGCTGGACTCTTAGTTAACAAATTTCTGGTACCCAAGAAGTTGAAAGAATCTGAAATCAGAAAACAATTCAATACAATTATTGCAAGTAAATTCAAGATTAAATTGATATTTATGTTTCAAGTATTTCATTCAAACAGTAAATTAAAAAAAATGTTTTAAGTACAAAGAGATTAAAAAAGAATTACTATTAATTAGAAATATATTATTTCAACTTTTCTAAAAATTTGAAGTAGCTTAATACAGTTCAATGGGAATCATTAAAACTATAATAAAGCATAAAATTTGACACATTTATTATTTCATAATAAAAAGAAAATCTATACTATAACCATAAAAGATATATATTTAATTTTATGCATTAACAAACTGGTGCTTTTAATTACAGATTTATCTATATTTTGTGCATATTGTATTAAAATATTTAATAAATTACATGACATACAAGTGCTGCAATTTATACAGAAATATTTCTAATCACTTACTACCTTACAATGTATAGATATTAACTGAGTTATATGAAAGCTATCTATTTGATAATAAAATAAAAAAATGATAGACTGTGCAATCGATGTCACGAACTGGACCTCATCCATAAATCAATTTGTTTCGAAACTATCAACACATTAATCAAGGAAATTGCAGAAACACTCAGTGTTTTGATCGAGAATCATACTCGTGAATGACGAAAGACATTTATGCCGTTAAAGCTAAAGAATGTTGTCAAGCACCGCGTTTGAAAAATATAACAATATACAGAAAAATCTCGAAGCACACATATGAAATGTGCGTGTTGCACATCTCACCGACAGTTTGACGGCACGCACCGTTTGATACGGGCGAGAAGAAGCCGCGTATACCAACGTATACGGCAATCAAGGGAGATTGCGTACACACACGTAGACACAGCGAGACGTACGCAATCAAATAAATGCAACACACATTCGTAACCACGCACACACAACGCAACGCACGACGACGTATGAGGCACGGCGCAAGAAAGAGATAATGTGACATCTATCCCAAAAATATCGCTTGTCGGCGACACATTTTGCGCATTCCACGAACGCGACGATCGGCTGGGCAGGCGAGGTGGCGCCGGGACCGCGACACTCCGTGGCACGTCATGCGGCGCGCCGTTATTTTTGACTGATAAAGCGATCCGTCGCCAAGATCGCCGCGCGCGATGTTACATGTCATGCGGAGAAGAGAGGAGAGAGAGGAAAGAGAGAGAGAGAGAGAGAGAAAGATGCACGAGAGAACCAACACAGTTACCTACTACTTCGGTCTCGAGCTTTCGTACGGGGTAAGAACGAGCACCCATCCGCTCTCACGTATTCTCATTACCTCCGGCACAGAGCCAGTCATACTAGCCGTGCGGTGTATCAACAAACAGCACTCGTAAATCCCTTTAGCCAGCCGGTACTCACATTTGTGTTGCAGAAAATTCGCCCCGACTACACCCAAATAACCACCATTTTTTTTTCCACTGAACCGCTACGCACTCTCACGGTGCTATGCGCAAAATGCGGCTGATATACACTAATCGACGTAGCTCGCGGCGGGTTTGCCGAGCGCCGGAGGAGACTTTATCGCCTCATAAAGCCTCGCGCGCATGATGCTAGGTGGTGCCGCTGCACTTGTCCATAGGATACGAAAATAAGAGAATGTAAAATGTATATGTCATTTTAAGGGTCGACAAAAGTGACAGCTCGAGTCCAAATTGATTTTGGCGACCTCATGTGAGAAAACTAAGAAACTACGGATGACAAGGACAGACACTCTCGCGATCCTTGTCTCTCATGCAATTGCTCTGTCCGAGATACGAATACAAGCTGAAAATGCTTTTTAGACATCTTGTGACAGAAAATAATGGCGTAGTAAGGCTAGCGAGCGCTCGCTTATCATACATTTCGTATTTACATATGCATAAAATGCATGTATATATGTATTTAAATTCTTAATAAATAATACGTGCATATTAAAATAATTTATTGATTAATAATGATACTAAAATATATAGAAGAATAGAATTTATTATCAATAAAATACAGATGCTTGATAGATTTGCGTTTTTACTTATTCTATTTCATACAAAATCAAACATAATATAACATGTGACCAAAGACTATTGCAATGATTGGTTATTCTTAATCACGTGATGTCTTCTAACGCTGAAATTGAGCGTAAGCGTAAAAAGGTACCTTTAAGATAACCCTAAAGGTATATTCAGCAAACTTGCATAACTGCATAACACATATTCGTAAGAAGATCAACCAATCACTCGTCGATACAAGCCAGGCTCACGAATACACGAATACACGAAAATGAGACCAGTGAAATGAAATCGCTATATGCAGTCTCGCGATAACTCATGATTGCCTACGATAGTCTGTGTTGATCCGCGGACACGCGGATACGTCGGGATATATTCATTTGTTCGGGCCGTTTGCATCGTTATTATGTAGATGACACCATGAGAAAAATTCGGAGCTGAAAGTGATAACCTCGGTGGATACAGCGCAAATAGTGTCGCGGGGAAAATGACTCCTATCGTTTTGACGAAATTCTAGGAATTCATGAAACTGAAAAAGCGAAAGAGTCTGTGCGCGCAGTGCGTGAATATGCCAGCCAAGGTCTCTAAGAAGGTCGTCGGCATGATCATTCGAAGCCGAAAGTCCATTATGAAGGATGGAGTAATCACGGTACTAAAGATTTTCGTCACAAGCTTCACCTTAACATAACTTCGACACCTCTTCACTCTTGCAGTAGTTGGCTGCAGCCTAGCGCTCCCTCTCACTCTGACTACAATGCATCCATATATCCAAATCTCTGTTTTGTCTTATCCCGTTTTATCTTTACGTACTGTCGCTTAATTAGTACTACGAAAAATTTATTTATGTATAAACTTGCACCCTGTGTATGCTTAAATTAGTTAAATATTTGCACAAAAACATCCCACTCTGGCAATAATAAAACACTCTTCTAGTGATTAAATTAATATTCAATATTACAAATACATTTTAGCAAATTATAAAACCAGAACGTTAACATTCATAGGTATTCAATCTTTGATAACTGTATATATATTTCTATATTATCTAAAAATTATTCGAGAATATTAATTAGTTAATTCGCATTTTTTAAGTATTGTCTCAAATTTTTATCTTATTTAGAATTGTAACGTTACATTTAGGAGTTATAAAGATATGTACACGCACAACTTTACATATGTTTTACTTTATGTTATATATTTTTTATTACACGTAAAGTAAAATATAGTGTATATAGTGTACAATTATAAACGGATAGAGAGAGAATCACAACTTATATATATAATCTATTATAATATTTGTTCAGTTGATTATATATATATAACTCGCTTCAACTTTATTTTTGATCTGTGAAAATGCACATTTGTGTCAAAAATGATATATATACATCTATATATATCATGTATATGATATATATGGTACACATATATATATCATTTTTTACATAAATGTGCATTTTCACAGATCAAAAATAAAGTTGAAGCGAGTAAAATAATTTACCATATTTTAGCTATCATTTAGTTAGTGGTTAAAAAATAAGTTATTTTTTTATGTTATAAAGAATGATTTTTGAAATTATATAAAATCTATAATTTATATAAACCACAATAATCTTTCTTTGCTTGTCATTCTCTTATCTATTATGACGTAAGAATACAATCTGCTTTTCCTTAGCTGTGGGTTTGAAATGTGGTTTTTGTTAAATTAATATTCAACAAATCTATAGCTGAAAAAATAAGGACTATATCATGGTATGTTATTTTTTATCACATTTAGTATCATATATATGTGTGTATATATATTATATATATATATATATATATATATATATATATATATATATATATATATATATATATATATATATATATATA